GGCAGGTTTGCAAAAGCGTGTATGTGTGTGTGCGCACGACAAACGGGAAGGGCTTCATAGCGCCACCGAACGTAGTTGGTCGTGCAGTCACCTGCTTCCGTGTCCTGATTATATTCAATATGGTCTTTCTCGACACTGTGCTTCTGACGAGTAGAATTCGCTGAGTTCGGTGCATTCGCGGCCGTAGCCGTGCGAGTCGGGTCGTTGTCCAGCGTCTCTGATCGTGGAATACTACCCAGACGTCGTGTGTGCGTGTGGGTGTTTGTGTGCTTGGGTATACCGGACCACCAAAAAACAAGCATAGTCCTTCTTGGGCATCGTTCTGTTCCACGGCGACGCTGGTTCCACAGTGGCCCTGTTGGTGTTCCTCGCCCCGGGCCAGGGCGCAGTTCTCTGCAGCGCGGTATTTTGACTACCCCATACGACTGCAGGAACCGCGAGCTAGCCCCCTGCTCGCCCGCTATAATTCATTCGTGAACATCCATCATTATGTTCTATCGATGTTGTTGTTTTCGGCCAGCACATGTAATTGTCGCGTACATTGCGCGAAGGGCCGTACGGCACATTTGTGTGTATCCCCGTCTCACTTGCAGTCACTCGAAAGTCGTGCCACGTAACAAGTATCACAATATGGAATCGACGCAACGAACGTATTTTGACACAAACGAGCCAGGGGTATATCCTGCAGCGGGTATGTCGAAATATGATTGCGAACAGTGACGCGCAGCGGATGAGGGTGTACTGACTGGTATGGACCAGTGGCTCTGGACGTGGAGTAGCAAATCACGATGAAGGAGTAGTCCGTGGCGAATCTAGAAAAGCAGAAAAACATCTACCCCGTCTTCTCCTTCCCTCCCGCCGTTTCCCTCTCTTCCCCCTCCGCTTTCATCCCTCTCTCGCCTTTTCCCTCTCTTTCCTCTCCGGCCTCCTCTTCCCTTTTCGTCTTCCTCTTCCCTCTCACCCTCTCCCCCGTAGCCGTTTCCCTCCCGAGCGTGGCTGAGGGAAGTTTCGGGCGCGTACTTGGAAGCGGCTCGTGCCCGAGAGTCATCGTCCTGGTGAGGCCTCTCCGCGATGGGACGGCGGAAGCGTGCGCCGAGCGCGTGGGCAGTTGGGCCGCTCTGTGGGACACCGCCGATGCAGCCGAGGCAGCCCCCTGCGGGGGCGCGGCGCGGCGGGCGGGAGGAGCAGGAGCTTGAGTGCGCGCGCCTTCTGGGCGTGTCTGCGGGCGCTCAGGGTGCTCACGTCGTGCATGGCCGAGGCGGACGGTGCAGCTGCGGCTTTTGAATTTGAGGCGTGTTTCGCGGTCGACGGCGTGGCCGGCTCGCGCATGGACGACGGCACGATCGCCTCGCACGGGGACGGTTCCCCCGAGGACGACGGCCATGGCGATCCTTTTGGGGTCGAGAGCATGGACGACTCCTTCGGGGCCGTCGGCGCGTGCGGCAGCCTCGGGGCCGCCGGCACGGACGGTTCCGTCGGGCCGATGGCACGGGCGACGCCTCCGTGGTCGACGGGTTGGTCGTCTCTTTCGTGACGCAGGGCTCGAAACCGAGGAAGCGCCTGCGGTGCCGCAGGTCGGGGCCTCTGGCCGGGGCCGCGTCGAGCCTGCAGCAGCGCGGCGCTTGCTCTGGGAGGAGGTATTCGGGGAGGAGGCTGCGGAGAAGAAGCTCATGAGCGCCACCCCGGGCGGGACTCCTCCAGCAGCCTCGCCCTCTCCGTGGCCCTCTTCTGGTACTCTGTCGTGTCCTCTCGTGCTTCCTCTACCTCTCGGCGGTTGTCGCGTTGCATTGCGTTCCTTGCTTTCCCGTGGAAGCCCGCGGATGCCTGGCGCTTCAGGCGCCAGTGTGGCGCCCCCGCAGCCAGCGCAAGAACAGAAATACCTCATCGAGCCTTGCGGGTCCCACCCGTCGCACGCGGCCCTTCTGGAGCCCTGGTGCGAGCACGTCTTCGAGCAGGTGCAGTCTGGGGCGTGCCCGAGAGGGCGCGGCAGGCGCGACGGGGGCAGGCCGTGGGCTTTGTGGCGGCCAGAGCGATTCCCAGGGCCGCATCGACGTGCTCGGCTTAGCGTGGCAGGGCAGGTACCTGGACATGCGCGACGAGGTATGATGGGCAAGCTATCCACCACCACTACCAGATGTAGAACGGGGGAGAAAGGGAGGGCGAGGAGGTCCTCCTCCTCCTCTTCCTCCTCTTCCTCCTCCTCCTCCTCCTCCTCCTCCTCCTCCTCCTCCTCCTCCTCCTCCTCCTCCTCCTCCTCCTCCTCCCCCTCCCTCTCCTACCCATGGTGGTGGTGACGCCGTCGAAGCCGGGCATTCAGGGGTCTGGGGTTGATTGGGCGGTAGGCATGCGCAGTGGCTGGGCTGGGCTCGGAACGCTGGTGTGTTTCTGGGAGCGGCCCGGGGACTGCTCCTCCTTCTCGGGCCGCGGTGTCCGGGGGGCGGCCTTCAGGGGCTGCGTTCGGTTGCCCGTGGTTTCCGTCTCCGCGGAGCCGGTGGGGCCTTGGCCGCAGCCTTCCCCTCCCGGGAGGGCCGCCTGCCGGGGCGCACCTGTCGTGTAGGGCCCTCGGGCCCCTGCGTCGCCGCTCCCGCCCGTCGTGGAGACCCGTTTTTTTTTGTTGTTCGCCGCTCTGCGGCAGCGGGCGGACTCTCCGCCCCTTCCTCTTTCTCCCTTCCCGCTTCCCCTCCCCTCTCCTCCCTTCGCTTGCCTTTCCTGTCCACGTCGCGGCGCGCGCGCGCCACGCGTGCCGCTTCGGGGAGGAGGGAGCGGGTGATGGACGAGGAGGAGGAGGAGGTTGAGGAGGATGAGGACGAGGACGAGGAGGAGGAGGAGGAGGAACAAAATGAGGAGGAGGAGGAGGAGGAGGAGGAGGAGGAGGAGGAGAGGAACACAATGAATGAGGAGGGAGGATGAAAGAGGGAAAAGGAGGAGGACGAGGGGGAAAGGGATGGGACGAAGAGGAGGAGGAAGAGGAGGAGGAGGAGGAACAGGAGCAGTTGGAAGGGACGGTGACGGGGGTGGATGGGCACGGGCAGGAAAGGTTGATCCAGAGGAGGCGGAGGAGGAGGAGGAGGAGGAGGAGGAGGAGGAGGAGGAGGAGTAACATGACGAGAGAGGAGGGCGAGAGGGGGGGTGGATGGGGCAGGAGTAGCAGGAGGGATGGGCAGGAGGGGAAAACAGAGAGGGCGCCGGGCAGGGCCGCTCTCCCCGGGGCACTGGGCCTTCCTCGCGGAGCACTGGGCGGGCAACCGCGGAGCCTGGGCCGCCGAGGAGCCGACTCGCGGGGCAAGCTTGCGGATGGGCATGTTTTTCACCACCACCACCACCATGACTTGGATGGGGGGGGAGGAGGAGGAGGAGGAGGAGGAGGAGGAGGAGGAGGAGGAGGAGGAGGAGGAGGAGGAGGAGGAGGAGGAGGGGAGGAGGCGGAGGAGGAGGTGGAGGAGGAGGAGGAGGAGGAGGAGGAGGAGGGAGGAGGAGGAGGAGGAGGAGGAGGGAGGAGAGGAGGAGGAGAGGAGGAGGAGGAGGAGGAGGAGGGAGGAGGAGGAGGAGGAGGAGGAGGAGGAGGAGGAGGAGGAGGAGGCGGAGGAGGAGGCGGAGGCGGAGGCGGCGGAGGCGGAGGCGGAGGCGGAGGCGGAGGCGGAGGCGGAGGCGGAGGCGGAGGCGGAGGCGGAGGCGGAGGCGGAGGCGGAGGCGGAGGCGGAGGCGGAGGCGGAGGCGGAGGCGGAGGCGGAGGAGGAGGAGGAGGAGGAGGAGGAGGCGGAGGCGGAGGCGGAGGCGGAGGCGGAGGCGAGGCGGAGGCGGAGGCGGAGGCGGAGGCGGAGGCGGAGGCGGAGGCGGAGGCGGAGGCGGAGGCGGAGGCGGAGGCGGAGGCGGAGGCGGAGGCGGAGGCGGAGGCGGAGGCGGAGGCGGAGGCGGAGGAGGAGGAGGAGGAGGAGGAGGAGGAGGAGGAGGAGGAGGAGGAGGAGGAGGAGGAGGAGGAGGAGGAGGAGGAGGAGGAGGAGGGGGAGGGGGAGGGGGAGGGGGAGGAGGGGGAGGATGAGCCCCTCCCCCTCAAACTTATGGTAGTGGTTGTGTGGAACAGGGCCGTCACTCGCAGATCCAAGGGGAGGAGGGGGGGCGTTTTCTCGCCTCGGAGACTCTATTTTGGAGCGGTGGCCCCGCTGGGTTTTGGGAGGTCCTTGGTCCGCTTTGGCCTCCCCCCGCTCCCCTCGTTCCTTGCCCCCGTCCCGAGGATTGAGGAACGATGACCCGCCGCCCACAGCTTCTTTGCTGTCGGGGCGGGTGTCCAAAACGGGCGGGATGATTTGGGGGTATCCATATCCCGGGAAAGATAACGAGCTTGCGAGGGGACCACCCCTTCGCTCTCTCGCTTGCTCGCTCAATCGCTCAAGCAAGCGAGCGAACGATCAAGCAAACGAACGCCATGCATTTGATGTCCCGCCCGCCCGACCCGACCCGCCCGAGGCGCTGGTTCGCTCGCTCGCTCGAGCACGCGGGCGAGAGAGCGAGCGAGGGAAGCAGGAGGTCTTCTCACTCGCTCGTTGGATTGCCCGAGCGAGCGCGCGAGCCATTGACGTTCATGGATTGTCTCGCCCGACCCGACTCGCTCGTTCGCGCGAGCGAGCGAGCGAGGGAAGGAGGGGGGCCCTCTCGCTCGCTCGAGCGAGCGACCGAGCGAACGAGCAAACGAGCACCGTGCATTTATTGTCCCGCCCGCCCGACCCGACCCACGCGCTCGCTCGGTCGAGCGAGCGAGCGAGGGAAGGAGCGGGTCCTCTTGCTCGTTCGCCCGCTCGCCCGAGCACGCCACCGAGAAAACGAGCGACGTCCCCTTCATGCCCCGCCCCACCCGCTCGACCCGACCTGCCCGAGAAGCTGGCTCGCTCGCTCGCCTGCTCGAGCGAGCGAGCGAGCAAGCGAACACCATTCCTTTCCGGCCCTCCTGTCCGACAGTCCGACACGACCCGCCCGACTCGCTCGCTCGAGCGAGCGAACGAGCGATGGAGGCGGGCGTGCTCTCGCTCGCTCGCTCGAGCAGGTGGGCGCTGTGCGTTTAATGTCCTGCCCCCCCACCCCGACTCGCTCGTTCGCTGCTCGATCGAGCGAGCGAGCGAGCGAGGAAGCGAGCACCTTGCATTGAACATCCCCCCGCCCGACCCGAGCCGCGCCCCATTCGCTAACGCGCTCGCTGGGGGGAAGGAGGCGGTCCTCTCGCTCGCTCGCTCGCCCCCCCCCCAGGCTCGCTCGCCCCGTCGCTCGCCCCCTCGCTCGCTCACCCCCCCCCCCCTCCCCCGCTCTCGCTCGCCCGTCCCCGCTGGTTAGTTCGCTCGAGCGAGCGAGTCGGCCGGTCGGTTCGCTCGGTCACCCCCCCGTGTTCGCTTTCCCCCCTCGCCCGCTCGCCCGTCCCCCCCCCCGCTCATGTTCGCTCGCCCCCTCGCTTGATCGCTCGGTCAAGGGCTTTGGGGTGCTTGCTCATGGCGATGGTGTTGCTGGTGGTGGGTGGGTTGCCGGGCCGAGGGTTGGGAGGTGATGGATGCTGATGATTATGATGCTCATGATGATGCTGCTGGTGCTGATGATGCTGCTGATGCTGCTAATGATGCTGCTAATGCTGGTGATGGCGGTGATGCTGATGATGATGATGATGATGATGATGATGATGCTGATGATTTGACGATGATGATGCTGCTGATAATGATAATGACGATGCTGCTGATGATGCTGACGGCGATGCTGACGGCGATGCTGACGACGATGCTGACGACGATGACGAGGACTATTACGATGACAATGATGATTATGATGATGGTGGTGATGATGGTGATGCTGATGATCATGATGCTGATCATGATGCTGCTGATTATGATGATGATGATGATGATGATGATGATGATGATGATGATGATGATGATGACGATGACGATGACGATGACGATGGCGATGGCGATGACGATGACGATGACGATGACGATGACGATGACGATGACGATGACGTGATGATATGATGATGATGATGATGATGATGATGATGGTGATGGTGATGATGGTGATGGATGATGATGATGATGGATGATGATGATGATGATGATGATGATGATGCTGATGATGATGATGATGATGATGATGACGATGACGATGACGATGACGATGACGATGACGATGATGACGATGACGATGATGATGATGACGATGACGATGACGATGATGATGATGATGATGATGATGATGATGATGATGATGATGATGATGATGATGATGATGATGATGATGATGATGATGATGATCATGATCATGATCATGTGACAAGTACTATGCCGCGGATCCACGGGGTAGACGAGGGGGGTAGGGGAGCCGAGAGGGTTATTTTATGTTGCAATCCAGTTTTGTTTTGTCTGTTTTTTGGGGGGGGAGGGATCCATATGTGCTTCGATGTTTGGGGGGGGCGCCCCCCCTCTCGTGGGCGAGAAGCATACCCGTATCCACGGTTTCGCGGGCTGGGCGGACGCCCCCCCGCGCGGAAAATCACCGCGCGTCCGCATCTGAACCCAGCCACGTTCTCTCTATCTCTATCTCTCTCTCTCTGTCTCTCTCCTCCGAAAAGGACCCCCCCCGCTGCGTCACAGCGGGCTCGTGGCCCCAGAGAGGCCCCGACCCCTTCCCCAAGGCCACTATCTTCGCCGCGGCTCGCCTCGTCCCACCTCCACCTCCTCCGCCTCCACCGCCTCTTTCTCCTCCTCCTCCTCCTCGTCCTCTTCCTCCTCCTCGTCCTCCTCCTCCTCCTCGTCCTCCACCTCCTCCTCCTCCTCCTCCTCCTTCTCCTCCTCCCCCGCATCCAGACCGCGAGGGCGCGGAGGCGACGCTCCCTTCGCCGCTCGTGGCCCTTCCCGCCTGCCAGCGCAAAACACCCGCGAGGACGCGCTGGACCCGCTGGGCCCCGCGCCCCGGGCGCTGCCGCAGGTCCGCGCCGCCCTGCTCGAGCTGCGCCACCTCGTCCTGGACGCTCCTCGGTCGGGGGCGAGGAGGAGGAGGAGGAGGAGGAGGAGGAGGAGGGAGGGAGGGAGGGAGGGAGGGAGGCTCCTCGATCGGGGGCGGCGAAGATCAGAGCGTGAATTACCTACCCCGGTTTCGCTTCCAGGCAAAACCCCTGGACGCTCCTCGGTCGGGGGCGGCGAGGAGGGGGGTGATGACCAGGGGGAGTTGGACATCATGGCGTGGGCCATGATATTTCCCTAGATTTCATGGCGCCTCTTCTTAGCTCGTTTAGCTGTCTCACCTCCGGCTTCATCCTTCTCGCCTCATCTCTCCTTGTCCCCCATCCATCCATGCGTCTCCGCCGCCGCTTAGGGCCCTTGAGCCAGGGCGCCCGGGAAAGGAGCGATCGACGATGGGATCCGAGCCGGTCCTCGATCGACACCTTGGAGGGGAAACGCGCGGCGCCTCGCTCGGCTGCGGTACAGGGCTCGTTTCTATTTCTCTGGTTCGATTCGATCCGATGTCGATGGCTTCTGATTCCGATTCGGTTCGACTCTTGACCCCGATGGCGATTCCGATTTCTCACTGGAGGCACACTACAGTCGGACTTGATTGGGGAGGACACGCGAGGGGACACAAGACCCTCCCGAGGGCCACATTGCCACAGGAATGTCGGAGGCATGGGCCGCAAGACACAGGACACAAGGATAACCCTAAACACTAAGGATAACCCTAAACCTCCCGTGATAATGAAGTTCGGCCTCCGCGCCCCCGCGCCCCCGACCAAACTCTTATTGGTCGACGAGGAAAAACTCTAACGACTTAAGGGGGGGGGGTACATTATTATCGTGGGCATGGGGTTGGACTTGGCAGGTCGACCCACTACTCCGGGCCGACTGCAGCCTGCCGGTTTTTCCGCCGATACGACTTTTCCCGGCTCGGATGCCGACGTCCGCCGGTCCGATGCATTTCGATCGCCGAGTCGATTTATCGATTCGATTCTGGGCGCTCCTGCGGTCGCTTCGCGCCGTGTCGACCGGCAGCGACCCCGCCGCGGGCGTTCAAGGTTGAACGCCGCCAGTGGCCCAGAGTCGGCCTACATGGAACGACCGGGCGATCGAAGCGCCGCCGATCGTTCCAGGCTGAACCATCCGCGCGGTGTCCGAGACCAGCGCTGGCGTCGTCACGACACGAACCTGCCGTACGCGTGCGAGCGATGCTTTGCAAGAGTGACCTCTGGTGCGGCCCAGAAAGGGTCCCCGTAGGCTTTGGCTCGCGCGCTTGGCTTTGGTGCCCCCGCGGCCCCCCGACGCCAGGGCTGGACCTAAACGGTGTTTTCTGTGATTTCGTGGGCCGTTTTCGTTTCGACTTCGTTTTGCGGTAAAGGCGGATTCGAGACAAAAGCGAGGGAAGACGAAAACAATACGAAAACGAAAAACACCGTTTAGGTTCAGCCCTGCCCGACGCCGCGCTCCAGAGGTCCTGTTTGCCCGCGGGGCCACTCTTGCGTGCAGCCGACTCGCGGGCGTCTGCCCGCCCTCACGGATATTCGACGAGCGCGTTCCATTACTCTCAAAGTAACTACTCGCTAATGGCCTGGATCCTCCGCGGGGGATCTACCATACATTACATCAGAGCAGACACATGTTTTTCGGACGTTTGCATTTAGGCACTTTGCGAGTAGTGTATCGCGTTCGGTGAGATATGTGGGATCCCCCCCTCCCCCAGGATCCTGGCGTCGCAAGCTTGTCGCAGCGGGCAAGGTTCCCTGGTCCCCTCACGGATCGATCCGGCCGGACAGATTGTTTGGAAAGATGAAATATTGGGGCTCTGTTCGTGATTTCTCATGATGCTTCGTTGCGTTTTTCGCTTCGTCGGATCTCATGGTTCCCCCCCCAGTAAAAAGGCGGCCGCGGACGGGGTTCGAGGACAGGGGCCGAGTCGGACGCGCCCGGACGCCCCCGCATCGTGCATCCCAGAATTGGACGCCAATTTGCGCAGCCGGTCGAATGTCCCTCAAAGTGAGGAAGTTGACCCGCCTCGCACCGATGCATTTCGCCAGTGGAGATCAGAGGGAGCACCCTTTCACAAGGGAACTAACTTCAGAACATTTAGGGTTCGACGTTTTTCGTCGTTTTCGGCCTCTGGAGGCCGTGTTCGGTGGTCGGGATCGTCGACCACCCATTCGGGGCAGCAAACGGCCAGGATGGACCCTGGGGCCCTCAGGGATTCAGTTTCAGCGGATCTGGGTCGGAAAGGGTGTTGAGCCGACGGTGATATCCTTCCTTTGTTTTCTCCCTTGGGGGTATCCTGGGGGCTGTCCTCCCCGCGATATCCTGGTGTCCTGGGGGTGTCCTGGTATCCTGGTATCCTGGGGGTATCCTGGTATCCTGGCGATAATCTGGGTTATCTGGCCCACCCCTTCCCCCCCCCCTCCCCATATTAACTAACTGCTCTTTTCGGGTGCGCAGGTCCGACGGGGGGACGCAGTACTGGTGCGCGCGGGCATAGGTGGGGCTGCCCACCGCGAAAAGGATAGGTTTTCGGCCGGCATCTCCCCCCTTAGCCAAGGCCATCGCCGAAACACTGTTGGGGAAATTTGTTTTTGTCATATCGAGAAATGCTTGCATGAAATTGCATGTCGGGGTTGAGCCCGACAACCTGCAGCCCTTTGTTTGGCTTTAAAAAAAGAGCCCTTCTTCCCTTCCCCGCTGCCACGGGGGAGGGGGGGCTCGAGCATGGTAGCTAGCGGAAATCGCTTGTCGCGGGCCGCTGCGCATGCTACGAGCTCGCCGCGGAGCGCTTCGCATCATCGGCCAGGCAGCATTCGGCCTTTTGGCTTGGCCAGGACGGCGCCCAAGGTGCACGGGAGAGCCGCCGTGCGGTTAATACCGCGGTGGCGTGGGCGGCCGCCTCCAGAGGCGGACGGCGCCGGTGAGTCGGCGGAGCACTCCGCGTCGGCAATTGAGCAGCATGGGTGCCGGGAGGAATCGGTCAGCCCCGCGCATCCGAAGAAGCGCAACAGGCGTGGGAAGTGAGGCGTGGGCGCTCGACGGCACCGGGTGGGCCGAGGCAGCGCGTGGCGGAAGCTCGCAGAGTGCGGGAACGCGGCGGACCTCGCCCCCGAGAGGAAGCAGCTGCGGCGTGACCTGAAGAGGAAAGCAGCAGCAGAAGGCGAAAATGGAGGACCATATTCGCCAGTTGGTGGAACAAGCGAGGCAGCCGACGGTGACGAGTCAGCAGTTTCAGGCCGACCTGCAGAAGTGATCGAGCGCGAGCAGCAACAAGAAGCCACGTGGATATCTCGGACGCAAAATTCTGCACATGGTGGAGCCGTTCGACGGCCAAAGGAGTTGGCAGACGTGTAGCTTCCAGCATCGAGCGTGCCTGATAATGCAGGACAGAAGATACAGGTCGCTGACCGACCAGATCGAGGACGACATAGAAAACGTGGACAACCTGAGCGAACTTAGCGCGCAGCTGCACTTCGCCCTGGTGCTGGCCTCGTCGGCGGTTCCAGTGGCAGAGCTGATCGTGGGGAACATGCCGCAAGGCGAAGGGCCCCCGTCGTGGAGAAGCGCAGCCCCGCGGAGGCTGGAAACGCGCTCGCGACGTGGGCGCGCTCGGCAGACGCGAAGATCGAGTTCCGCGATGACGCGAGGGTGCGCGTCCAGAAGCTCAGCGATCATCTCGCGCGGCGCCAGAAGATGCTAGGCCGGGGCGTCTCGGAGCGATGGGCGAACCCATGGGGCTCGGAGCGTCGAAGGGGAAGTCGGGGAAGGGCCGCGGAGGTAATGGCGCGGACGCTGGCAATGAAGGAACGGTCTACAGCCGACAGGCGCGCGAGCACCCTGGGACGGAGCTCGAGCGCCACTATTGTTACAAGAAATGTCACCGACAGAACGACTGCAGGAAGCGGATGCATACGAAAGCAAGGAAGCAAACGAACAGTCTAATTTCAAGAACAAGATCAATAAGGATACAGAGAAGACAAAGGAGAGGGTGGCCGCCGCCATCGTGAAGGAGCAGGAAAGGCAGGACCAGGAACAGCCGGGCTTTTCGACGGTGCCGACGCAGCTGGCACTGGAAAGTGGAGGAGGAGCCCCAGGCAGCGCAGCAAACGCAGCGACCTGGCTAGTGCGGGGATGTCTCCAAGCGAATATGATTCTAGCGGCGGGTGTGCAACATATGCGAAGACGAGAGATGCTCCGGGCATGGGGGCCAGGTGAGTGCGACAAGTGCGAGCGCAGTACCTGCGATGAAGTCTTTAGTGGAGACCGTTGGCCTTTCGATGTCCTGCAGCTGGGCAGCGCAGCAGCTGCGGGGCGCGCGCGGGCTACTGTCTCTACTTCCACAGGGGGATGCAGTGGCGGCGTGTGTCGCTGCTGCTGTCGTGCGGCTGCGGTTTGCCCCGCGCCAGCTCGGGCGTGCGCACTTCGAGAGCTCTGCGAAGGTGGCGACCGTACGCGGCCAGCCCCGCTTCGGAATGCAGCGACGCTGGATTCCAGGGGCGCAGATCGGCGCCGCGCCCCGAGAGCAGGCGAGGGACGCGCAACTGCGCGCCGAAGAACAGCAGAGCGGTGGGCCTGACGGGCATCGGAGGAGAAGGTGTCCCGAGATTCGGCCATGTGCAGCTCGACTTGTTTCGAGGAGGAGAGGGAATTCGAGTTGGAGCTGAGGTGGCTGACGCTGAGTGGCCAGCGGCGGTGACCGACGCCGTGGCGGTCAGGAGCAAGACTGCGCTGCGCGGCCGAGCTGGGGGCAGGGCCATCGACCGCGTCGTCGAGCCGCCAGGCGGAATTGAGCGCGTGACTTTGAGAAAGTATCGGCGCCGCTATCGCGTGGAGTTCGACGAGATCGACGACGGCGGAGGTTGCGACGGGGCCTGGATGGGCGCAGTTGGAAGTCCCCCTCTCGGCGCGCCCCTGCTGAACAAGAAGCTGGATGCCTGGTTGCCCCGAGCATCGGGCCCAGGGCCCGACGAGGCGTCTACAGAACCTGCGCGCGCCGAGAACGCTCGAGTCGCC